TCTTGTGGGGAGACTTGTAAAGATCGTGACTTGTAAAGATCATGACTTGTGAAGATCGTGACTTAAAGAGAACGTGAAATATAAATAATAGGACAAGAACTTGCATTTTACGGTGTGGCAACAAGAAGAGGATTCGAAAGATTTTTATATATATTTTGTTTTAGAGAGTTGAAGATTTTTAGTATTTTTGAATAGTTGTAAGAGTTTTAACTGCAGTAATTAAGAGTTTAAAATTTTGATAGTTTAGAACTGCAGTATTTATTTTTTTTGGTTCTGTTTTAAAATTTAAATAAAGGTATTTTGTTTATTCTAAAAAATTAGCTTTATTCTTCCTACAAGATTCAATATTCATTATATTGAAATAAGGAAAGGATTTTTACTCCCAGGGTACCGGTTCTGTGAACAGCAGCCACCGTGTAAGTTGGGCCCATAACGGTTCATACGGTGGTCCCTTAGGAAGATAGAACACAACCCCTACACCCCACGTACGCAGTACAGGCACAAAGTACGATGGCGGGTAAAAGTTCCAAAGATTCTAAGAGATCAGATGATCCAGATAGCGAAGGGCTATCAGAGAATCAAAAAACCAACAGCGGAGGGCTGTCGGAAAAGGAACCTACACACGGAGCAGAGCAGACCAGAAGGTCCTGACAAAGACAATTTGTCGGTCAAAGCTCCAAAAACAGCTAGGTCACATAAACAGAAAGGACAACACAAAAGCTCGAAAGAGCAAGTTGACATTGATCCGGTGGATCTGTCGTCAATGAAGAAAGCACATGAGTGCTTGATAAACTTAGAAGGACTTTTAGCCAAAGAGGCTGTTCCTAGGAAATTAGTCAACAAAATTAGAGATGAGTTTGTTAGGATTATTAGATCTAGTGACTAGGCAAAATTTAAAAATAGCGCAATTGGAAGGACAGTTGGAACAGACGCAGCACTTAGAGGATTACGTCCAAGGACTAATCACAGTGGAGAAAAAGACTTAAAGAATACCTTAAAGTATCCCGTTGTGCAAAATGCTTGGGATTCAATCACGGTACGAAGAACTGTACGAGTCAAAGGGTCTGTGCAGGTTGCGGAGACCACGACCGTGAAATGAAAGAATGCAAAGCAAAAGAGAAGAAATGCATAAACTGCGCGATGGCAAATACCAGATTCAATGCAGGTTTCAATCCGAACCATGACGCCAGAAGTACAAAATGCCCATACTATGAAAGAGAGTTAGAAAAAGTCATAAGTAGAACCGACTATGGACTGTGAAATTTTACAAATAAATTTACAGCACTCTAGGAGTGCGACAGAGAAAATGAAGATCAAATTAGCACAAAATGACAAAATAAAAATAGCATGTGTGCAAGAACCGTACATCGTGAAAAACAAGATGTACGGACTGCCAATAGTTTATAGAAAATACTATTACGAGGAAAATGCCAAAGCCGCAGTAATAATCACGGACAACAAAATCTCAGTCTGTCAGGTGTACAGTGATCCCCTGAAAGTTTCCAGAACAAGATCCAGATCGAGAAACAAGAGCAGACGAGAGATGAAAAGATCAGTGTCAAGAAAGAGAGAGGAAGGTCAGGAACATGTCCTATTGGTATATCCCACCAAGGACAAAGAATGTACCTCAGACGAACTAAAAGAAAAGTTAGTGCAGTCAATTAACCCGACTAAACTAAAGATAGGGATTAAAAGAGTCAAGAAGATAAACAAAGGAGGCTTGCTCATAGAAGTACCTAACAAAGATGACCTCGCTATCCTAGAGGACGCCATCAAAGAAAACAGGAAAACAAAAGATAATATGGAGACCAGAATTCCAGCCAAATGGAAACCTAGAGTTATCATATATAACGTAAACTCTGAAATTGAGAAAGATGACGTAACAAAGTTAATTAGAAAACAAAATGAGAAACTTGAAAATGGCGAAATAGAAGCTCTTTTCCCTATAAGAGCCAAATACGGCCAACACTGGGTTTTATCAGTAGACCCAGCAACTTTCCAGACAATGACAAATATGTAAAAGGTCAATATCAAATGGTCTCGACTAAGAGTCAAAGAATACCTCAAAGTATCCCGTTGTGCAAAATGCTTGGGATTCAATCACGGCACGAAGAACTGTACGAGTCAAAGGGTCTGTGCAGGTTGCGGAGACCACGACCATGAAATGAAGGAATGCAAAGCAAAAGAGAAGAAATGCATAAACTGCGCGATGGCAAATACCAAATTCAATGCAGGTTTAAATCCGAACCATGACGCCAGAAGTACAACATGCCCATGCTATGAAAGAGAGTTAGAAAAAGTCATAAGTAGAACCGACTATGGACTGTGAAATCTTACAACTAAATTTACAGCACTCTAGGAGTGCGACAGAGAAAATGAAGATCAAATTAGCACAAAATGACAGAATAAAAATAGCATGTGTGCAAGAACCGTACATCGTGAAAAACAAGATGTACGGACTGCCAATAGTTTATAGAAAATACTATTACGAGGAAAATGCCAAAGCCGCAGTAATAATCACGGACAATAAAATCTCAGTCTGTCAGGTGTACAGTGATCCCCTGATAGTTGCACTCAGAATGGAGACAGCAGTACCATTCCTGCTAATATCGGTGTACGGCCCTCCTTCACAAGAGATGAATGAAATAATAACAACAATGCAAAAATTGATTATGGACAATGTGATGACTACAATAGTATGTGGTGATCTAAATGCGAAACACCCCATTTGGAGCCCGACCCCAGCAGACCCAAGAGGTACTAAAGTCTGCGAATTCTTAGCAGCAACAGGACTAACGGTAATAAACGATGATCAAACAACCCCAACCTTTGCAGGAGCAAGGGGAAATTCATGGGTTGACCTTACTCTAATCAAGCAAACAGATGAAAACATTCATTTACAAAACTGGAGAATAGATGATGATGAAAACGGAAGTGATCACAACAACATTTACTTTGAAGTGTTCATAGGTACACTCCCAATAACGAAAAGTCAAAGAGTTCATGTAGAAAAACTGACTGGCTGGACTTTAAACAAGAGATTATGCGCAAATATAAACTCCAAGAGATCCAGACCACAGAAGATATTGACGAACATATAAGTCAAGCCACTCGGCTGATCCACGAAGCCTACGAAAACACCAGAAGAGACCGAAACTCCGGTACTCTCAGGAAAAGATATACTCCATGGTGGTCTCCAGAAATAGGTCAGATGAGAAAACTCGTACGTGCCCTCAGGAAGAGATTCCAGAAGGCTCCACCCGAAGTAAGACCACAATACAGGCAAAAGTACAAAATCTATGCAGCGAAGTATAAAAAGACGTTGTACAAAGAAAAAAGGAAATACTGGAACGACTATTGGGAAAGTATTACCACGAACACTCCATTCGGTACTTACTTCGAGATGATCAAAAATAAGCGTACGAGTCCGCTCCAGATAAGTGCGATTGAAAAAGAAGATGGCACGATGACTAAGACATTAGCAGAAGCAATTGAAGTGATAATAAAACATCACTTTCCAGAAGACGATCAAAATGATGATGACGCACATCACGCCCAAATCAGAAGGGACTCCGAGATTCCACCAGACGATACAACAGATGACCTCCCATTTCACGAAAGAGGAAATCCAGAGACGGTGGATGGAGTGAAGAGTAAAGAAAAAGAAAGCCCCAGGGACTAGACCACTTAACAATTAACGCAGTAGAAGAACTAAGAATAGCGAATGAAGACAGCTTCTGCAAATTAATGAATAGCTGCCTAGACCACGGCTATTTTCCCTGACTCCTGGAAAGAACGCTGAATTAGTGCTTTTCCCAAAGGACGGAAAAGGACAAGAAAAAAACCAAACGCGTATCGACCCATATGCCTGCTCTCAGCCTGGGGTAAGGTGTTGGATAAGCTGGTCACACAAAGACTCACTTACCACTTAGAAAAGAATAACCTTTTAAATGACAAGCAATTCGGGTTTCGAAAAGGAAAGAGTACGGTTGATGCTGTCGACCACTTACAACGTATGATCCAGAAAAATAGGCAAGAAAATCAGCACACCTGCGTCATCTCACTGGATGTCGCCTCGGCGTTCAACCAGTTGTGGTGGCCAGGTCTTAAAAAGAGATTGAAAGAGCTAAGATGCCCTAGAAACATCTATAATATAATAGACAGCTACCTCACGAAAAGAAAGATCACCATACAATAGAGATGGTCTTAGTATCACAAAAGAATACTACAAAGGCGCGCCTCAAGGGTCGAATATCGGCCCCATCCTATGGATCATAATGGCCGACTCCGCCTTACAGATAGACTTTGAAGATGCAGCAACAATCCAGGCATATGCGGATGATTTTATCATAATCATCAAAGGAGGTAATCGCACAATTATAGAAAAAAAGGCAGCGATCGCCCTTAGCAAACTCACAGAATGGAGTACAAGAAATAAACTCAAATTCAGCGTGGAAAAAACGCAGATGATTCTATTCCCGAAAGGTACTAAAATAGAATCAAATCCTCCTCGGATCAAGTGGAATAACATCCCACTGCGAAGGCAAGACACCCTGCAATACCTGGGTTTCCTGCTGGACAAGAAACTTACCTGGATTCCCCATTTAACCGAAATGAGAAATAAGACGAATATCATCATAAACAGTATAAATCGGACCATGAACGAAAGATGGACATTAAGAGGGAGAATTATGAAAGATCTCTACCTCCGGGCAGTGGAAAGAATGATTCTCTATGGCAGTCCAGTATGGATGTCGGACACCGTCAGAGTACAGACGAAACTAGCACAGATACAAAGGATCGCCCTGCTAAAAATGACATCAGCATTCACGACTACCTCGACGGCAGCCTTGCAGATCTTAGCAGGAGTCCTGCCCCTTGATCTCAAGGCGCACAGAGAAAAGATGATCTACCGAATGCTTCACTATAAAGAAGATGCCATTCATGATGGTATATGCATACTACAATTCGACGCAATAGAGAAAGTACGAGACGATGCTCAATTACATCCAGCAACCCCTAGAAGAATTCCCTGGTCAAAGTTCCTGCCCTCCGGACAAGGACTAGAGATATTTACAGATGGATCTCGTATTAACAATCAAGTAGGCGCCGCATTTGTGGCGTTCTATCACGGACAAGAAATACACAGAGAAGGCTACAGGCTCTCAGATGACGCAACGGTATACCAAGCAGAGTCACAGGCCCTCAAAAAGGCAGCCCTATGGGCAGGAAAACACCCATCAGAACAGATAAGCTTCTTTACAGACAGCATGAGTGTTCTACAAGCGATGAATAAAAGAGGAAAAGTAGCGGAACATGCCGCAACGCTAAAAGAAATTATAAAGTCATTAAACCGAAGGACTCTCCTATGCTGGGTTAGAGGCCACACTGGACTCCACGGGAACGAGCTGGCGGACGCTCATGCCAAGACAGCTACTTCTAGAACAGCCATAGATGTAGAAGTTCCAATTTCAACAGATGCAGCTAAACGCCTCATTACCAAATACCTCTGTGACGTGTGGCAAGACAGATAGCAAGAAGAAGACAATGGACGGATTACATACAGCTTCTTCCCGAAAGTAAGCACTAAACGCATCCGCTCCAATTTCTTCATGATGCAAGCCTTGACCGGACATGGCAAGTTCCCGGCTTACTTTCAGCGATTCTTGAACCGCGATGTAAGATGTGCCTGCGGCACCCCAGGTCATCAAGCTGACGCCATTCACTATATCAAAGACTGTAGGCTGGTTGATGAGATAAGATCAAGACACTTCCCGACAAATTTCCAAGATCACCCGTTAGCCTCCTTCGCTACGGACTACTACAAGGTAAAAGGAGTGACCAAGATCATTACAGAGTTGAACCAACGACCAGATGTCTTCCTAGAAGATTACTAGTAAAACCAGGTCTGCGAACCTGATGATACCAACTACCTGTACATATGTAAATAGTAAGTCCAAATAGGACACTTTAATGTTAACTTTTAACTTTTCTTTAATTAATCTAGATGTTGTCATGTATTAGTAATAGTGTATTGTATATTTGTAATAAAGGACGCAAAGTCCACCTCGGCCTGATTACTGGCGCAACGATCGGAATGATTTCAAACCCGGTAGTGCCTTCTCATGATGTGGCGGAACCGGTTAGTGCTAAAAAACACTAGTTATTGCCGTATGATATTGCTCAGTTAATCGCCAGAGAAACCGATGAGATTGCAAACGATTATAAAGAAATTAAAAGGATCTTATTAAAGCGGTACAAGATGACACCTGAAAAATTTCGCCAAAATTTTTTACGCACAATAAGAGTGTAGGAAACACATGGAAGAATTTTGCGTATGAGTTAAGAAATTTTTTTAATGAATGGATAAGCGGAATTAAAGTAGATACTTTTGAGAAACTTAGCGACCTTATTGTAGCGGATCAGATAAAACGTAAAGTGTCTCCAGAAGTAAAAGAACATTTTATTGACATATGGTCTGAGTTGATTTCACCAATTGATTTAGTTGAAAAACTAGATGATTATGATACCTTGAAGTCAACTTTCAACAATAAACAACCGCGTAAAGAAGGGTCTTACGACAAACGAAACTCCTTTAAAGATGGTCCAGTTGCTACAATCAACGAAAAGAAACTCTACTCTACGGTATCACACATAATGAAAAAGGTGAACCAAAATGCTTCAGCTGTAATAATTTTGGACACATCTCAAGGGACTGTCCGCTGCCCAAACCAGTAGTAACATGCCGAAAATGTAATAAAACAGGTCATAAAGCTAAAAATTGTGTTACTAAAGCTGAAAATAATCATTCAAATGATAAAAATTATTCTGTTGAGCAAGTTGGCGAAAATATAGAAGAGAGCAATTCATATTTGAAGAAAGCAAAACAAAAATGAATAATTCTGAAGAAGTACAGGCTTTAATTGATACGGGGAGTTCTTGTTGTCTCTTAAGGACTTCAGTTGCTCAGAAACTTAAAGTGAAACCAGAACCTGCTATGAATGAATTGTACGGTTTTGGAAATCAAAGGGTGCCTGCAGTGACCTCCATAGGAATGATTAAAGCCGATATTGAAGTTGATAATGTAAAAGGCCAAGGCATAAATATATACCTTGTACCTGATAATGCACAGCCAGTTGATCTAATCATCGGACGGACATGGCTTGATCTACCTCACATCGCTTATGTCAGAATAGGAAAAAGATTTCACTTCGGGTATAGGGAAGATGAACTATTTAGTAACCTCCAAATTGATGAAAAAATAAATCGAGTCTGCCTTAAAGCTCTTGAGAAAAATGAATTAGAGAAAAATACGATCAGTCTTGTCAGTTCTCAAACAGATTCTGTAGATAATGGATTAATTATGATAGAAAAATCCTTCCGAAGGTATAGGCTGTTTATTAGAAATTAAAAATGGCGAAACTTGTATACCAGTGATTAACGTTGGCGATAGAAGTGTTAAGCTCCAAAAAGATCAATGCGTTGGGAGAGCAGAAGAAGTTGAACTATGTTTAAATACTGAAATTTCTGAATTGAGCTCGAACTTAGCAAAAACGGAAAATATTAACAACATAAAAGTTCCTATAAGTTTAAGCCAAGTTAAAATTGGCTCGGATCTCGACGCTAATCATCAGCAAGAGTTATTGCGTCTTTCGAATGAATACAGAGATAGCTTCGCACTAAATATTTCAGAACTCAGGTGTACTGAATTCATAAAAATGGACACTAAAGAAGATATATTCGTTCACCAAACTCCAGTAAAGTAAAACAATACAAAACGTGCCGTTCGAAGTGTAGGATATGGTGAATTAGGTGCATTTGAAGTTGTTGTTCGAGAGAAGGGGAATGAAGCTGCAAATCTGATTGGACTGAATTGCACTTCGGTGAAAAATAGTCCTTATGCTGCAAATAGAAATCGACACTGTGGCCAACTGTTCTCTAAACACCACTTCATGCCAAGGCAAAGACAGAATGGCGAAAGTGATGGTATTCAGAGCCAAAAGAATGTAGATGATAAGCAGCAACTGCAACCTCGAAGGCCCGTACGAAGGCAATTACGTCATCCTTACTTCAGGCAATATTGTAGTTATATATCCATAGGACTTCCACGAAACCTTGAACGCGATGGAAGTGAAGATGAACAAAATGAAAGAAAAAACGAACAAAGAGTTTCAGGAGGTGGAAGAGACAATCACTGGAATCCCAGACGATTTTATCAAAGGTGCTTTAATAGCAAAACCCAGTATCATAGGAATGACACTCAATGCAGTCAAAGTAGAATGAAAGGAGAAGCAACTAGTAAAGATACTGAAGCAAATGACGAACAGCAGCCACGCGGTCAAGGATATAGATCTTGTCCACTTTACAGATCAAAAATGGGTTGTCGAAAGCCCCACCAAGCTGATTCACGTGCTAAAAACAGATCTTCGGAGGCCATCATTTCCAGAAATACAGAAGATGATGATAATGACGAGGTTGACGGCGAACATAAAAGGCCCAAGCGAATAGTACGCAAACCATTGCGCTATAGAGACTTCGTATAGGACTTGTTCGGTGTCTGAAAGAGTATTGCTTGGCAGCATTGTTTTACGCCAAGCAGAGTTTGGCTTTAGTGTAACCCTAAAGTTATTTCGTTTTTGCTTTATTTGTATGAATGATTTCTGACTTGATGTAAGAGCATATGGTGCTCGCTCTTAGCTAAGTTACATAGGTAACTAGTAAGCACATGCGTGTGCTAGTATTCAATAATGTTGTTTTTGTTAAAATAAAATTGTTATTCTTAATATTACAGTCCACTTACTGAAGTTAAGTATCATTAAATAAGTTCGAGCTATCTTCGGCAAGAACAGGACTTAGAGAATTTTTTTAATTATATTTCATTTTTTTCCCTACCTATTATTATATTTTTGTTGATGATTATTTGTCGTTTTAATGCATGATAAGATTTGGTTCAATTGAGGACAATTGAAAAGTCAGGATGGTCGAATGTAAGAACGATTGTAAATTATTTAATTGTTATTAGACAAAATATCTATTGACAAAATGGCAACAGCTAATTTCTGGATGTCGTTCTATTTATAATTTTAAAAATATACTTTCAGATGATGTGCGCTTCAAATGTTTAACGATACAATGCAGTAAGTACGTTTGTTATGTTATGTACGTTTACGAATACGTTACGTATAGGTTATTAAGATTTATCTTCAAATAAATGTTTGTCTTTTACAACCATTTTACGAGTGATTAATTTAACTACAAAAGAAAGTTAACACGCTATGTCTTTCATAAAAGGAACCTCGCTTCGCCAGTATAATAATGAACAAACAACAACAGACTAGTTATTAATAAAAATAATATTGTTTTGTATTTATATAAAATGTACAATGTTGTTCAATAAACAATAAGTTTCGCAAAAAATGTATTTTTCTAGACTAAAAAAATTAAAACACATTTTTCAATGGGGTGCGGAAATATATTTTCAGATTCATTGGGGTGCAAGTCGCTAGAAAGGTTAAGAAACACTGGTCTAACAGATGAATGATTAGCTATAACGTTTGCATTTCAGAATCCGAATTAGATTTATTCCTATGTTGCTTTGAAGATGTCAAAGAGCTTTTTCGGAGAAACGTTTCGGGTTAGACCTGAGGCTATCTGGGATCTGTTAAAAGAGATGACGGATGACAAAATTTCTATTTCGGGGGATAAATCGGAAAAAGATTTTATTGAAAAAATCGCGAAATCACAGTTAGCGACAAAGATGAAAATGAAGAATTATCATTTGACAATAAAGATGAAGAAGAAACAATGATTGAAAAACAAACCTAGGCAGATGAAAATATGAAGTTGAAATATGAAGCTAAAAAGGAAAATACTAAAGAAGTTGAAAAAACTTCCAGGATATTTTGAGTCATTTGATAAATCTGTTATTTATCCCGGTAAAGCTCACTGGTAAAGATAAGTGGTCATCTGTTCCTAAATCAAGCAACACAAAGACAGCATCTCACAATATTATTCAATTTATGTTGTTGTTGCTAATGTTATGTCGCGAATTTCAATTATTAATATGTGTTTCAAGTCATTATTATTCTAATATTTTTATTTGTATTCATGTGTATTTTAATTGGGAAAAAAAAGTATTGTTGCGTGCGTACGGGTTCGTTATGAAATGAATGCACAAGTCCGATGAAAAATGAACAAAAATTTATTATTATCACAACAAAAATGCTTAAATTTTCTCAAATTATCATGCAGTATTACAATATCTCACAGTAGTTATCTTTTAACTACTCAAATGTCCAATAGAACGTAATTCAAAACAGCTAAAGAACGCTAATCCGCGAATTCGCTACAATCAACAACAGCAGTTTTCTAAACAACAACAACAACTAAGCAACTACTACTACAAACTGAGATGTTTTCCTCCCTTTATAAGATTTTAAAATCACGCGCTAGAATTTTCCAGCACTTTCTCGAAATCAAAAAGAGATATTTATTTATTTAACGCACGCGCTCTTGTATTTTTAATTTTCCGGCT